TTCTGAATGGTACACGACCATTTGTTTGCCAGAAGTCATCGGAGAAATTCGAAAAAAGCAGAAGAACAGGCGAATCATTCTTCATCATGACAATGCGAGCTCTCACACATCGACTCAAACAAAGGCATTTCTGACGGAGCGAAAGATCAAACTGATGGATCATCCGCCGTACAGCCCTGATTTGGCACCCAATGACTTCTTCTTATTCCCACACATCAAAAATAAATTACGTGGACAACGATTTTCGACCCCCGAAGAAGCGGTTGATGCATTCAAAACGCATGTTTTGGAGTTACCTCAATCGGACTGGAAAAAGTGCTTTGAAAATTGGTTCAAACTCATGCAAAAGTGTATTGATCATCATGGAGAATATTTTTAAAAACAATAAAACCAATTTCGATCCTACATATTTGTTTTTTGATTATTAGGCCAGAAATATAAATAGCAACCCTCGTATAGTATATAATAGAAAAGCACTCTTCTCTCTTACATATTCGAAACACTATTTTAGAAAATTTAATTAATATTTCTTTCAGTATAATTTTTTACCATTTATTAAATAATAACAGTTACTAGCAAATATTATTTATTGAAGCTTGTCGTCTTATTTTCTGCCCATTATTTTCTACATCCGAAATGTGATATCAGGGTAAATAAATAAAGAATATTTGTATGCAAAACGACAATATTATAATTATGCAATTTGCGTATGATTATAACATTTAAAAGCATTTAACTGTACATAAAACATATTTAAGAACCAATTAAACTTAAATTATAATTAATGCATATTGCTTAGTGAAGTTTTATTTTATTTCGACAAAATTATTAATTTACCCTGATATTAAACGTGATATCAAGGTAAATTAAAAAAGAACATTTGTGTGCAAAACGACAATATTATAAGCATGCAATTTATGTATAATTATAACATTTAAAAGCATTTAACTGTACATAAGGACATATTTAAGAATCAAGTAAACTTAAATTCTTAAATATGTCCTTATTAAATTATAATCACTATAAAATTATAATTACTGTAAATTGCTTAGCGAAGTTTTACTTTATTTCGACAAAATAAAAATAATGAATTTTAAATGAAGAAAAAGAGGACAAATTATTCATTAAATTTTAATAGTATTACAGAAAGAAGATAATTACTAAATAAATTTAATGCAAAATAAAATGACAGACATAGAAATATCAACGTATATAATTTACATTTATTTATTGGATATTGTATATATTTATTAATCTCAATTATTTGATGTAATTTGTTCATATCATCAGTTTTATTCAAATATATTTAAATTTATATACTTTAACAAAAATATGCAGAAGACATTCAAATAAACTATCACTGTTTACTCTTTAAATGTTTCCATTTTTTAAAACTCAAAAATTAAATAAATTTGGAAATTGGATTGCTAGAGGTAAATAATTACAGAACTTAAATATTTTAATCAAATTTGTGTTCTCTTCTCAAACATAATTATATAATTTTTTAAAATATTTCTGATGTGAAAATCTATTTTAATTGTGAGTAAAATAATTAATAGTAAATATTTATTTTATTTGTTTCTTTTTTTATTTTAAGAAAAACTAATTTTACCCTTATTTATAATTTGAATAAAATTCGATAAGTTAGGCGCATATTTAAAACATCTAAGTTTAGTACCTCGAAGCAATATTTGTAATTGCATTTTCTACACATAATAAAAAAATTCTAAAGCTTCAAGATCAAGCATATTTTTTTATGCTTTTTCTTAAAAAAAATTCTAAATTAGTAATTCAGAATTCTTATGTAATGTGTCGAAAATAGAGTTTTATTAGACAGTTTTTTTTGTATTATTACGATGAATTTATATTAAAGCAAGTAATGGAACGATAAATAAACAAGTCATAAAAAATATTTTTCTTATAACCGCTTAAATGATTTCGTTTCAGAGTAGCAATGAAATAGTAAATTGCGAATCTAACGAATTTTTTTTCATTTATTCTGAACACTGAAATAACTTTTTTTTCTCTTTTTAGTGAATAAATTTGAAATATTTATTTCATTTTCATTAACAAACAAAAGAAAAAGAAGCACAATATCATTATTTTCGCAATTCTTTATAATATTGTATCTTGATGATTTTAATTTTTTTCTTTTTTTACACAAAAAACATTAACTCAAATAACTCAAAACTTTTGCGAAAAATACTTTAAACATTTGCAAATTTATAAAAAAAATTTAAGAATGAATTCTATTATACATTTCACAAGAAAAAAAATTTTCTTTAAATATATACATAGATCCAAGATACATCGTAGATTGTACTTTGGACTATTGGATATTACTCCTTGCATAACATTGATTTTCAGTTTTGCTTTTAATTAAACGTGTTAATTTATAGGATTATTTAGATATCCATGCAATAAAAATTAAATTTTCGTGTAGGTTGCATAAACTTATAGAAATCATTTACTCATAAATATAATGACAAAGAATATGTAATTGGAAATTTATAGGTTTAACATGAACCTAAATATTTTTCACATACTAAGAGTTTCAAAGTTTGTCTAAAATCTATTTGTGTTAACTGGATCTGATGCATTTTTGACCGGTTCAGGAACAGCAGGCATTCACTTGCTATTTATAGACCTAAAAAATTATTTTTCTTAAGAGATTGATATTTTGTCCTAAACAGAATGACATTTTGGTACTTATCTGCCCTAGTTTCATTTTAAAAAGCAAATCTATTGGGATTTATTTTCATATCAAATCAATTGAAAAGAAATGACTCAGCAATTAAAAGATCAAAAATAAAACACGAAAGATTTAATTACTTTTTATCCCTTTTATTAATTATTATCAAAATTAAGATAAATAGATATCTGATTTAAAAAGTGTATTTGTATCTGATAATGAGTTGTATCAGCATCAGCTTAAAACTGATATCAAACAGTTTTTAGGTACCCATTTTAATTATAAGTCACTTATTTTAATTTCAAATCAATCACTGATTCATATGTTTTGTTATCATTAAAAAAATTATCCCCCCCACACAAAAACAAAGTAGCAATCATTCATCAATTTTTCTTCTAATGTATAAATGAATATTATGACAATCTGTATTTTGTATTGTTTATCAATATCTGTACCAACCGGGTCACAAAATAGTGCAAAATAACAATTACAATATTACAAGACATAATCTTGAACGGAAATGTCTAACGGTAAAAAATATATAATAAAAAAAACAATTTTCATCCGACCGAGATTTTTCTCAGAGAGATTATAAAAAATGCAAAATTTAGCCTTCGCAGAATTTTGACGCACGGAAACTGAAAAGGATATTTTCCCGAGAACGGGAATTATGTTTTTTTATATATATTTGAAGCTAACTCGCATAATAAAAAAATAAAATAAATAAAAAGGTAACCGTTTATACGTAACTCTATTTAAGGACTACATAAAACAAATTCCTTAATGTAATTAAACTAATTTTATAGCATGTTTGTTTCATAATAAACATTGAAACTTTATATTAATGTCTAGAAGTTATTACTACTTTCAATGCAAGATTATGTATGAAATATAAATTTCATCAGCATATATTTGTTTAAGTTTATTTTAATTATGTTCCATACTGATTTACACAATTTTTCCAGAGGCTGATTATCCTTCTTTTATTTCTATCATACGTCGAAGGATTATGCATTCAAGCCGTGAAAATACAAGAAAACTGCTCAATTTCGGTAAAAAAGATACGAAAAAAGAGAGCATTAGATGAATCAGATGTTATTAATCGCTTCGAAATGGAAAGAGTATCTCCTCTTTATGATATCATTAGACAATTTCCTCCATTTGAAGATGATTGGATACCACCCGCCTTTACTAATTTGCCATCACTGTTCACAAACATCCCATCACCTCCAACAATACTTCCACTGGATATTCCACCTACATTCAAAATTGATGTAACCAAAGATGGACATCATGTGGTCAGCGAAAGTGGGAGACGAAATGGTCCCAACTCAGCTTTGAACTGGTGGTATGCAGTAAATTCGTATTCAAACGTGAGTGAGTACAACTATACAAATAACTACAGGTACCCCAAACCTATTATCAGCCATCGAATTGAGCTTAAAACGCAGTCTCCTCGAAAGTCAGATGAAGACCACGTGTTTAACAAAGTGCTAGGTTCAAGCACTGGCCACGGAAGTTCCATAGATGAAGTGTTCCTGAAATTAGAAACCACGCCAAGAATGATTTCTACTACAGCGCCAGCTCCTGTTACTCAGAAACCAAACATAACTACACGATATATTCTGTTGCAATCCGGAAGGATTGTTCAGATCAATGTTACTTCTGTTTCTGCTCCTCTCAAACAAACTTCTACAAATGGTAGAAACCCCAATTTACCACCAGTCTTTTTTGGCAGTCGGATAAGAAATAAAAACTCGTCTACAACTATAGGTCCTAAAGTTCAAAATAGAGCTGATAATAGCCCCATTACAAACCTAAATCGAGAATTAGTAAACCAAAATCAACAATCAGAAGTAAACAAAAATAGAGCAGAGAAACTAACTGTCAGTCAAAAATTCCAAACTCGAGTTGACAATAGTCAAAATGCAAACCTAAATCGAGAATTAGTAAACCAAAAACAGCTACCAAACCTTAATAAAAACAGAGCAGAAAAACTAATAGAAGTAACTATTAAACAGCCAGAAGCTCTGACTAAGGAGCATGCACCCATACGAGAAACAACAACAGCATCTACATTTAAAAATGCAATAAAACCAGACATAACAAAATCTACGACTCCATTAAAAACAATGGCTCTGACGACAAAAATCCCTTCTACAAGTAGGCCAATAGACGTAAGAACTATATTTTTGGCTCCAGCTTCAACAATACCCACCACTACTGATAGAACTATTGTCTCAACTAAATCGATAGCAACCACAACAACTAGAGCTTTGGTGTCAGCTAGGACAGTACCTGTCACAACGATTAGTGCTATAGTCTCAACAAGGCCAATACCTACTACCACAGCTAGAGAAGTGACTCCAATAAAAGCAGTAGCGACTGCAGCTAAAAGTAGTATAATCTCAAGTACAGTAGCTCCTTATGCCACAAAAAGTTCCACTTTGCCCGTTTTGACTGGTAGGAGAGAAACTTTACCCCCTAAGAACATAATCGAAACTATTTTCAATGTCTTGCAACCAGGTACATCTAAATTCCCATTTCTTGTCGTCAACTTTGACCCAACAAAAGTTAATTTACCAGGGACAAAAAGTTTTAGTGCTGAACTGAGAGAAGCACCCGCAAGTAGCACTTTCGCTGGTGTTAATACTTTCCCCACTGCATCTAGAGAAACAACTGCGAAAAGCACATTCTATTCCGTGCCTAGGGAAACACCTGCTAGAAACTATTTGCATGCTACACCATTTCAAAGGAAAGATGATAAAGCAAAATATTTCACTAGTAAGATAGAGTACGAAAAGGAAGATTCAAATAAACCTAAAATACTGCAGTACAGCTTTACGACACCAATAAAAAAGCCAAATGTTTTGCAAACTCAAAAAATTCCATCTAAAGTCCCCACATCATCAATTATTGAATCTACGAGTGGAAATCAAAATAGCGGTAAGTAAATCTTAAGAAATATCGTTGCTATAAAAAATTCTTATTTTGATTGAATTTAATTTTATTCTTGTGGGATAAAAATGTAGTTGCATGTTAATAGCATCACCATTTTCAGGTTTCTTAATGTATAGTGTTTTACCATTAAAAGCTGGTCAGCTTTTTGCATCGATTTCTTTTTACTGTGTTGATATATTAATAATTTTTGGCATGGTTTTATACAAAAAGGCTTCATTTTAATTGCGTATAATTGCATTTAATTGCACGCCCGACACATACCGGGCTGACTCCAGGAGGGTTTAAAGCTGTAAATACTATAAAACTGATGTAACCTAAAATTTAACTTCAAAAACGTTTTACTTATTTCTTATATGCTGAATTATTAACTAAGTAATTTGCAGGCTTATTAATATACAAGGCGAATTATGGCTAAACACTAAAATTTTCACGCCAACGTTGTTAAAATATTAGAAGTTGCTTTAGATTATAACTAGCCATGTCACAAATTAGGCAAATATTGATTATTTTTTTGAACGAGTGTACTGTTTCGAAAGTTTTATTTTTGTTTTTGTTGAATTGTTGAAAATGACTTTAACTAATTATATTATTTAGTTAAAACTATTGTTAAATAAGACTAATCAGTAGAAATTGTTAGTAAGAGTGCTTTTTTTTTTAGAATAAGACTAAGATATTTTGGTGAGAAAAAATGTGCGCACACAACAGCCATAAAGACATCGACTAATATCTATCAAAGTTCACTCATTAACTCACTATACCTAAATGGAATTTTTTGAACCTCTTAAAAGACGGTGTGAAACACTTTGATGTATCGCCCCATCATGAATCATAATGACCATTTAATAATTTCTCTATTCGCTTATATTTCAATATACTGATTTGCAGAGTTTTTGTTTAGTTCATTCACTGATTCACCCATTTTCTGATTTTTTTAAATCTTTGATTCATAAAGAAGAAAACAAAAGAAACAAGCTTTAAAAGCAGTTGCAAGGCAAAAATATTTTAGTTCTATAACTATTTATGTCGAAACTACGGTAATATGCTTAAGTAAAAGCCCCGAAAGCAAATGCTTTTTAGGAAATTTTTTAATCAAGCTACAAATACAGATTTGGGAAAAATAATTAAATAATGTGTTTTTGGATTATTATTAATTATAACTTACCCTTATTAATTATTTATCACTGAAATTATCAGAATTATTTTTTTATAAATGGCAGATATATGTAAAACGAAAAATATAAAACAGATTTAAAAGGGATCATGTATAGTAGTAGCCGGTATATATGCAGCGAAATTGACGTCACAGTAGAACGTGAATAAGTGATTAAGAAGTGATTTAGCCGAAAACCGAAAGTGAGCGTATTTTTTCCCCACTGTATTTCTGGTTTTTAGTTTCGGTTTTATTTTAATATTAGTATTCGATGGTGGCAACACTAATTTATGTTTTAAAATTTTGTGGTGACAACACTTATTCTTTTCATTGTTCTGGTGAATATGACGTATAGTATGACGTCACGCGTTATTCATGTATGAATCTATAACTCAATTAATTAATTTATTAATGAATCTATTACATAATTACACTAAAGAGTTAAACATAATTAAGATTCTGAAATCGCCTGACATTTTTGATAGGGCCTAATATTGTAGTTTCGTTATTATTCAAGAACTCCTATATCGTATTAATATACGTATTTAGGAAAGATAAATTTATGTTTGCTTATGAAAAACATTTAGCTTATATTTTTAAAATTGGATTAAATAATTATATATCTGCAGTATCTATTCAATCATAATTTACAAAAAATAAATATATTAATAATTAATTTTTAAAGTTATTGTTTTATTAACTATCGTAATTTAATAATAATATTAAAATATTATACTTAATTTTAAATCTTATAAAAAAATATTTGAATCATTTATTCTGATTTTATATTCGACTAGAAAATAAAAATCTATATACGCATTTATATTATGTATTCAATTACAATTTAAATTTCATTTTTTATACTTTGAAAATAAGTCAAGTGTTTATCTTTATTATTTTGTTAAATAAATAATACATCGTAGTATTTAGCAAAATAATATATGTATTCTTCGCTTAAAAATAATTCATTTGTAATTTTAAAAAGCAAAAAATTTAATGTATAATTGAATGCTTCATTTAAATATATGGATATTTATTTTCTAGTTGGAAGTACAATCAGAATAAATAATTCAAATTTTTTTTATTAGAATTAAAAACAAGTGTTATATTTTAATATTATTATTAAATTACGATGGTTACTAAAAAAGAAATAAGTTCAAAAGGGAAACAAATTTATTAAAACACTTATTTAGTAAATTCTGATTGAAAAGGTTCTGCATATATCATACTATTTAATCCAATTTTATAATTATAAAATTTTAAAAAAATTTCATAAACAAAAATAAATCATTCTTTCTTAAATATCTATATTAATATGACATTGAAGTTCCTGAAGAATTGCGAAACTAAATATTAGAAGCAACTAAAATTATCTGTCAATTTCAGAACCCTAATTATGTTTAACTCTAACTCTTTAGTGTAATTATGTAATAGATTTATTAACAAATTAATTAATTACGTAATAGATTCATACATCAACAACACGTGACGTTATACTATACAAATTTTCACCAGAACAGTGAAACTAATAAGTGTTGCCACCACAAAATTCTAAAACATAAATCAGCGTTGCACCACTAAAAACTAATATTAAAATAAAATCGAAACTAAGAACCAGACCTACAGTGGAGAAGAAATAAGCCCACTTCCGGTTTACAACAAACTTTCGCCTTACGGGTAGGCAGAAGTAAACACCTCTTGACGCACTACTGTGACGTCACTTCCGCCGTATATATATCGGCTACTACGACTAACAAGTCAAACGAATATATTATTTAACATTATATGAACAAAAGAACAAATATTCAAAGATTTTCATCATTTAATAACTAATTAAGCTTTTTTAGGACTAATCATTAGAAACTTTTAAAAAAAGGTGGGAAATAGTTTGCTCTTCATTTTTTAATTTTTAAAATGATAAGAAATCGTTAAAATGAAGCGATCCGTTTGAAGTTTTTCTATGCACCGTATTCTTCCTATGAACAGCGTGAAAGAACTATAAAGCCAGTTTTGTAGACTAGTTATAATACTTGGTTAAATTAAACAAATACATTTTAACCGAAAGGTTTTGTGAAGCCAGGATACAAGAAAACTTTGTTCTTGGCAAAGCACTTCGGGTAATTATTTTATCCACTTTCAGATGATAAAACACAACGTTAACGATCTATGTTGTTCATATACGCAGGGTGTCCCAAAACGACCGCATAAACTCTGCACAGCTAAATTCCTCGTTGGGAGTACATTAAAACTGCGCAAAGAAGCGTTCCGGTACGATCCATAGTTTACGAGAAAAATACGAAAAACTAAGTATGACGTCACTGCCTAAACTTAACTAAACTCACCGGCGCGACAGCCCATGAGGGCCAAGGCCTACTGTGCCCATCTCAGTTTTCTTGACCTTGGGCTCTGGGGTGCAGGAGCAGATGTTCCGGTCAGGTGGTCAGCCAAACGCGGAACCCCCAGTGTTTAGTTCCCAAGCATGCTTGGTACTCATTTATCGACCCACTGAAGGGATGAAAGGCTGAGTCAATCTTGCCCGGCCCGAGGATCGAACCAGGGACCTGTGGCACGACAGCGCGAAGCGCTACCGCTCAGACACCGGGCGTCATGACGTCACTGCCGGTGCAAAAAAGAAAAAAAAACCTTTATTGGACATATCAACAACAGTATTTGCATATCCTTCAAGACGATAATGTTTAAAACGTTCACCGCGCATATTCTGCTTTAAATTATGCATATTATACTGCTGTTGATACGTTCAATAAAGTGTTTTCTCTTGCACCGGCAGTGACGTCATACTTTGTTTTTCGCATTTTTTTTCGCAAACTATGGATCGTACAGGAACGCTTCTTTGGGCAGTTTTTATGTACTCCCAACGCGGAATCTAGCTGTGCAGTGTTTATGAGTTCGTTTTGGGGCACCCTGTATAAAGGAGTTCTACAAACATAAAAAGAATTAAATAAATCCTATTCAAAATTTATACATACAAAATTGTAAACATACTATATCAATTATCAATATATAATTTCTGCAATAAGACTTACACATTTGTAATATATTTTTATTACTTAAGCGGTACAATAATAAAAAAACTCGAACAAAGGTTAGAAATTAGCGAATTTCCTTTAAACTAGTGGGCTGCGCCCCCTGATCGCTAACGCTCGTAAACCCCCGAAACTTGCTACGCAATCTTATATGGTTTGCTTCGCTTGCTACTTACTTAGGTACATTGCAAATGCACAAAATTCTAAGAATTCAAAACAATCATTCAAATCCATATAAAAACTTTTTTTTAAAAAAATTGCATCTTTCTAATAAATACTAAGTCATTAAAATAAATTTGAATTCAAATAAATGACATGTAATTCGTTAAACCTATTAGAAATGTGCTATAGTATAATTCGTAATATAAATCAAAAATCGTCAAATAAATTCGTATAATATAAATTCGTGAGAAAAAGCGCTTTCGACAAAATACTAAAAGAGAGATCTATCGACAAAGACTACTTACTTCTGCCTAGCTTAATAGTATGAGAATGCCGCAGCTGATGCTCTCTGGTTATTTCAGTTTCCGTTTTTAAAAGTGCTATATGTTGAGCCACCTCAGCTTGATTTGGCATTTTTAGCGGCAATCATTGGTCGATTCGCCGTATTAGAGAAATAGTAACGCAAACAAAACAAAGCTAACGTTGCCACCGGCGGAAAAGAAATACAGCCAAAATTTGGGAGCCACGTAAGAGAATTATGTATATTAGATTTGTGCGTTCTTTTTTTCCTGTCTACTACTTTAAATATAAAATATGTTTTTTAAATAATTATCTCTCTTCATTTATTGACATTTTTTTGGCCTTCTTACAATGTCAAGCAAAAGATAGGCTATTTTAGAAATGTTTAAGCAAGGAAAACGGCAGTGTGAAATCGCTCGTTTGCTCAGTGTGCAAAAGTTAGGACTATCTAAAACATTCGCTTTGGCGGGATAAATTGAGGATACTTGCAGCCAATTGTACAAAATTTCAATAAGCGTTTGAACCTCTCAATCACTATGAATGGCTGTCACTTTGAAACCAATTAAATTCATTATTAAAAGTCCACTCTTCTAATTATTTTTTATATTTTATCAAATTATTTATTTTTGATGAAGTTTAATTAAATATCAATCCGGAATTTCTTACCGCGCTCTTTATAATATCTGGAAAAAGATAAAAGATAAAATAAAATTACCTATATAGGGACTTAATTATTTTCCTTTCTGTGTCTGTTTTGAGTAAGAAAAAAAAAAGAAAAACCATTCTAAAATGATTTTCGCTTTAAGGTAATAATAACTAAGCAATTGTGGTACATTAAAAATATACTAGAGAAATAAAAAATAAAGAACTTTTTTTAGGATAACACAAAAAAAAAGTCAGCTTAACCTGAATAACTTTTAATCGAAAGGATTTTCACATGCCAGGTCTCAATCTTAATGGAAAAAACGTACATTCTCTAAAAAAACACCTTCTTCTATGGACTTGAATTTCTCACTCCTAAATTATGGGAGGTAGCAGCAGTCAGGGAAATCTGTTACAATAGTTTGGTCAAGAAAGCTGTCCAAAGTTTGACCACTTAAAGTTGAATTCCCTTTTTTTGAGTTTTTAGCTATATCGCGAGAACTTTTTAAGTGAATCGATCTTTTTGAGCAAAATTATAAAATTCGGTTTTCCAAAAACGTTTTAGTGCAAAATATTAGTTTAATATTAATAATTTTTTTTATTAATTTATTTAAGATTTGGCCAAAAATTTTTAATTTATGAAGTATAAAAATCTTTGCAATATAATGTCATTTTTATAAGGCAAAATACGAAATTTTTATGAAATCTGTCGAATAGTTCCTGAGAAAATCGAATTTTAAATCTACGATTTCATTAAGACTTCTTCATAAAAAAAATTTCCTTAAATTCTTCATAAAATTTCTTCTTAAAAAGACATTAAAGTATAAGATACGATCTGGAATATACGATACTTCCTTATGATACAATTTAAGATTCTTTTTCTTTTCAATCAAAAATTAATTGGTAGATATTTTTTTTGGACATTATGTATATTTGTAAAACCTTATACATTGTCGTTAAAAAAATGCTAAAGCAATATTTATTTTTAATTTATTCTTTTTACGAATTTCTAAAGATAAAATTTTTAACGTCACTTAATAATTTCTAAACACTCTTGCTTTTTTTTTCTTTTAAAATTTTCCCAGTCACGGCAATAAAGCCAATTTTCTGCTCATTATTGACAGTAAAAATTTCGTTAAGCTTTTTGCTACGCTGGTGTTCTCACAAATAAAAATAATTCAAAATAAATATTTTCCTAATAGTTAAATTTACCCATTTTCTTGATGAAAATTTAATTGCAAATTATTTTCAAATTATTTTTGACAGTATTTAAAAGGGAAAAATCATAAAAAGCAATATTAATATTTTTCTCATGTTTTTTTTTGCAATATTTTATAAGCTGTGCAAATTGCTATCTTCTTTTATTGCTGGTAATATGTTTATTCTTTACTCCCTAACCGTAATATTAATAGTTAATTTTTATTTATTTATTTTTTTTATATTCTCTTTATATCCCCTATGCTTTTCTCTAATGGAAAAATTCAACCATTTTTATTGCTTTTATATTGATAATAAAAAAGTGCACTCGTCAATTTTAAAAGAAAATTTAAAATTTGACAACAAAAATAATATTATATACTAGAGATGAACATTTCTGAAAAAAAAAGCTTTTTCCTTTAAATGATTTAATTATTTTCCTTTGAGAACACTCGTCTGTTTTGCATCAGAAAAAAAAGAAACCTTGCTAAAATGTTTTTTGCATTAAGGGAATAATACCTAAGCAATTGTCGTACGTTAAATTTGCAACAATCTTAAGCACGCTTTGCATTCTACTCAATCCTATTAAAATATATAAAAACAAAGAACTGCTTTCCTGAAGATAAATCTAATAACCTGTATTTACTTTTTTTTGATCCACTTCCCCGTGATGCTAATTTGCATAAAATATTGAATGGAAGTATGAACTAATTAGAAAAAAAATCCTATCTTTTAAGCATTAAAAATAATCCGTTTCTTGTTATTATGGAAATTAAACTAATGATTTTTATCGAAACGAAGTAAGGATATTTTCAAAAATTCCTTTTAAGTTAATCAGAAAATTTATTACTTTGTTATGTCCTAAATATTTATATAATCCGAAGATAATGTTGTTTCTAGAAATTGAGCAAGTTTAGAAAACCTGGAAAATTCCTCAATTTATTTTCAGTTATTTCAATAAATTCATATTAAAAGTTGTTTTTTTTTCTTTCTTTTTTCCTAAACTGAAATTAATATCAGCAGGAGGAAAAAAAATCTGGTAAAATGATCGTATTTGTAAGATTTCGACATTTTTAATTAAAGCAATGTAGTTAAAAACCATTATTTAATGTTATATGTAAAGTATTATACGGTATTTAAAGAATTCATTTAGTAATTTTTCCATCTGTATAGTACCGGTTTACTGAAAATACTGATTTTAACCAAATTAAAACCAGTATTTTTAATGGTATATATAAAGTATTATACGGTATTTAAATTATTCATTAAGTAATTTTTTTGTTCGTATAATACCGTTTTACCGAAAATACTGGTCTTAAAAATTATCGTACTTATTACCACACATTTAATAAAAATACAAAACAGGAAATTGATTTAACTGAAAAAATGGCTTTTTGGATTTTCCTCAGTTCATCTTAATTATATAGTGAGTTTCAAGACCAAAATGATACAGTGTGTTGCTCGACCATTCAAAAACAGGACATGTATATTTCCCATTAGCCCTGTCTGTATTATTCATTTAGTCGATTAGCCATGGTCAATAATATTTTTATCTTTACAATTTATTTCATCAACTAAATTATTTTAAATGCACTTATTCCTCTGTTTTCACAAATTTCTTTGAAATCATGTTATTTTTTTATTTACCGGACAAAATATTTCAGTCAATCCAAAACCTGGTAATAAACCTGCTTCATCCAGAGAACGAGAATTCGATCCTGTTTATGACTTTTCAACATTTGGTGAACCTTTGCCCGAGACAAGTCATGAATTTTTCCGAATTGTAACTCTACAACCAACAGCTTCCGTTAGCCAACGTTCTACAACCACTTTGAAGGAGAACATTGTGCAAACAAAACCTCCCGGCTACAGAGGTATTTATTATACGTATATATATTTTAAAACTCTTTAATTCACTTTATCAAAATATTTTCAACACAAAGGTCTTAAATCACTTTTTTCATAAAACTAAATAGTTTTTGGAAATATAGTGATAAACCACTTTTTCCCTAACGTGAAATTTTTAATTCAAATTATTTCTTAGTGTTGTTTCGAAAAAGTGCTCTACAAATTTCTAAAACTTTAACTAGATGGCGACACAATGCATAGAAATGTGTTATTGTTCTTGAATATTAGTGATTTTAACTGTTGTCGTTCCTTGTAACTCGTTACGTATCTGTGGCACATGAGAAAACGAGTCTTCTGTGCCAACATCTGCGGTGCAAGGCTTCCTACTTAAACCTTTATTTTTCGCTATAAAAGCTTCCCTGAACAATTTTAAAGATGTGGATTATCATTATGTAATAGCAAGACTTTTGTATTAAGAACTTATCGGAAAAACTAAGCAACATTTGGATGTAATTCAATGTTGAATTTACAAATGCATGATAACATAAGAAAAGTAGATTTAATTGTCTTTATATGTTGCCGTTATTTAAAAACCTGACATAATAAAATAATGTATGTACCATAAAACTACTGAACTTCCAAAAAAATCTTTTTTTTAATCCGATAAATATAATTGATTATGTTCTGATACTAAAGCTCTTCAATTTCAAATAGGAACCCACGCTTTTGCCACTTACTTTGTACTTTGACTTTTATTTCAGGCATTGGGCATGTACAGCAAGTATTCCCCAGAAATCAAAGAATCACTTCAGCGTCTACAACAGCCTTAACACATTCTACCACGCACTTTTCTGTACCACAGTCGACGAGAAAGTCTCGACAAAATGGATTTCACCTCAGAAATTCAGTGGGATTTCAAACAATCCCACCAACTGCCCTCTCTGATAGAAGATTCTACTCGGCAACGACTCCTTCTCCACTGACATCAGCCACAACTGAAGCAAACTCTGTGAGAATGCGAATGGCTGAAGTACTTGCTTTTAAATTTGAACCAACAAGAAGAAGTGTTTTGACTGCTCACGAAATTGGGAAAACCCCTTCAGGTATGAGTCGCAAATTATCCACCACGTGTTATCACGATTTTTCACATTACCACGGAATTAAAAAGAAACGCTTCAGGCATAATCGCAAGTTATGACTTTCGAAATAAGGGAAAATATTTCATATATATGCACTGCAAATTAGTGTTCTCGAAATTAAGAGTTAGGATACGGCGACCCAGGCCGCAGATTCATATGCTACAAGTTAGATCCTGGGCTCCCAAACCAGCACCCCCTAGCAAAAACAAAACGGACTTCGAGGTGCAAAACCCCGAGTCAGGCTCGACTATGAGCACCACAATCATTCCGACAGACATGGAAGACCAATGAGCAGTCAAGCAGCAATAAACAATTAAAAATAACCATTGCTCCCATGGAATTAAAAAATTAACATTCACGTATGAGCACAAATTACAGCTCTAGAAATTGAAAAATAAACCTTTAGGTACAGATCTCAAATTTCAGCTCTTGAAATTAAAGAACCTTTTTAAGGCAACGAATAACACTTCCCGAAATTTAAAAATAAACATCATGAATGGATCACAAATTATAGTTCTCGAAACTGTAAAATGCCCTTGAAATATGGGAGGAGGGTACCAATTACAGTTCTCCAGGTTAAAAATCACAAATTGCTGATCTCGAAATCAAAAAAAAAAAAAAACTTCAGATATGGGGGCCACAATTTACAGCTCTCGGAATAGGAGGAAGAGAAAATCCTTCAGGTACGGATTACAAATTACAGCTCTTCAAATTTAAAAACCCTTTTCAGATATGGGCAATAAATTACTCTTCTCGAAATTGGAGAATAACACCTTCAGTATGGGTCGATCAAATATACGTAGCTTTCATATACTCTCAAAAATTCTATCGCACGCTGAATAAAAATATAAGTATTTTGAGCCATATTATCGTACAAATATACTGTGACCTTAATAAAGTGTAAATTAAATCGTGTTTTCTTTTTTTTAAGTTCTACTGTAATATCTTGCAGGTGTGTTTAAAAATGAGTGATTTTTGAGGCAGCAAAACTGTATTAAGGTTTCATCAAATTCAATCAACATTGTGAATCAAAGCGCTTTAAAACATCGAACAATATAAAACCGATTTTTCTAAATGGTGTTAACTTTACAATAATTGGTGACTATCGTCTCTTCCCCTACAAAATATTTTAAATAAAAATATATATATTGGCAATGTTTATATTTTTCCCAGTTATTCTTCTTATAAATAAATCTAAAAAAGATAATATATGTTATCAAATTAATGTACCTCTCATGAGTTGAGGCATGTAGTTCAAATTTTAAGCTTACAGCTTTTAAAAATTGAATGACTCAGAAACAACTTAACTGATTTCGTTTAAATTTTGTATTTTATCTTTTAAAAATATCTTGATGATGTAAAAATTTCTATCTCTTACAATTAAAACTTTTTTCGACTATTGCTAAAAAACATAAGCTTAATAAATGAGTATTAAAAATGATTTTTTACAAGGATTTAGAATTTTTAAAAACAAATTTTGCAATTTAACATGAAAACTTCAGTGCAATAGAAGTCCTCATTTTGGTTAATTTTCAAGTAAAAAGTGCTAACCTTCTCTTCTTTTGTTTTATAAACAGAAAGGAATAGAGAGTCACATTATAAAAACAGAAGAAAATAGAAAGCCTCGCTATAAAAACAGAAAAGAATAGAAAGTCTCATTATAGCACGAGTAGAAAATAAAACTATTTTCACTTCTAACTTATTACTTGATTAAAAACTTCATTCGCTTCAAAAATATGCAAATTTGAAATAACAGTCGACATGTTTCAAGTGCTCAAAAACAGAAGCCCATTTTCAAGAATTGCCAGACACGAATGAAAAGAAACACAAGTGATTTGAATTGTAAAATGTTATGTTGTCAACGAAAAATGGAAATTTAAAGGTGAGAAACAAAACTATAAAAGCCACAGTAACCGAGCGAGAAATATATGAAAAGCTAAACAAGTAAAGATGTGCTGATGTGACCCCAGCCACATCGACTCATCTTGATACCTTGGAATCTTGTTTTATTTATATAAATGCTGATTGCCTTATTAACGACACCCCTAACGGCTACAGTGTTTTTTCTTGTTCTGTTTTTCATCTTCTCTCTGTGTCTCTCTCTCTCTCGGCTACTGTGTTTTTTCTAGTTTTGTTTCTCATATTTTTTTTTCTTCCATATTTTGTTATAAACTTTAAGTTTCATATTTTAAATCATTTTAGTTTCTTCTCATTCACATCTGAATAGTTTTGATAATGGGTGCCTGTTTTTGAGCCCTTAAAACATATCGAGTGTTGTTTCCAATTTGTATATTATTGAAGCAAATGAAGTTTTTAGGCAAGTAATATCTTGCTTTTTCAGTTTCTTGCGTTTATTTATTTGTTAAATTCTTGCCAACTCATAACACTTTCGATAATGATTTTCTGAAGTGGTAGAACTCAGTAAAAGTGATTGAACTCCAATTGTTGGCAGAATTGCTTTTATATTTTTTCTAAGCTTAAAAATACATTATGCGTATCATGCATCTATTTACATAATGCATGTCTAATTTATTTGTATAATTTAGAATCAATTTAATAAATCCGAGAGCTAAATAGAAATGCAGATATTTAACAACCACTTTAAATACCAAAGTAAATATCAAAGTATCAAAGAACCCCGGTGTATACGGAAGAGCTGTGCAAATAGAAAATCCGATGAAAATCTAAAATAAGCAAAAATTTTAATTTAAATTTTTTAGTTTAAATTTTCCAATGATAAGAAAGCTATTTAACTTAAACAGATCTCAAATTGCAATAATATACAAGTAGGATTCTATTTTATTTGTCGAAAGGCGGAGACTAACAATTATTTCATAAAAAAAGTTACCTTCATAGTATAGGATTATTTATCATCAATGGATTTCTAAATATTTCAGAGTTCANATATATATATCCTGGAATACCTGAAACACTGCATTAGCCATTTCACAAAAAAAGAATACAATAAAAAATAAAAAGCAATTATGAAATTTTATACCTCTAGAAAACTTTTCAGTTATATACATTTGACATCTCGAAAGTTTTGAAATAAGTTAGTTTGAAAAGAAAATTATAGATATCAGATTTAAGATATTTTTTAGCTCTCTCAAACTATACTATTAAATTTCACGTGATTTGTGAAATTCGTCAGGTGCTTTTTACAATGAGAGCTGCACATTTGCATTCGGAATAATTTTAAATTTACTTGAAATTTGGCTTAGGTTTCGAGGAATCTGTAAAATTCAGCACATATTAGATTTAAACGAGATCATGTTTAAATGTTTAATGTCGAGGAGTTATATTTTCAGAATGCTTTTTACCCAAGGGAAAGAAATAAAAATTTTCTTAAAATACAAACTTTCCTGAACATAATTCAGTATTTCTTGACACAGTATATATACTTTAAAATGATGCCATAAATTACCTGCTTAATGACAGATAAATGTACATATTTGTTTTATTTACTTTTTATGTCTATTGATAGTATTTCTAACCAATATAGGAACATGTTTTCCTTAATGATGGCTTTTTGTGCATAGATAATGCAAACATTATCTGTCAAATATCACAAAAAATACTCATAGAAGAGTTGATAATCAATATCCCTCCTTGGATTTAAGACGGGAGGCAACTAAAAATCTTAGATATGAATCATAATTGTTATTGCAGATTTGGATTTTTCATAAAAGCAAATACTTCACATCGAGAAAACAAGTTTTTTAACATATGTTTACAAATAAAATAAAAATAAAGATATATTGGTCGACACGCATCTTTGTGTTTAATGTTCTGAAAAAGTATATCTAGTAACACCTAACTTGGCCCTACTTGTGAAACTTTCAGGAAAGACCACTTTTGTGTCGCAACTTCCCCTATTTACTGTCACTTTTGGGAAGCGCGGAGTTTTTTTCCATAGATTTCATGTTGAAGAAAACGTTTTTTTCCTTCATCAAAAACTCTCCCGGTGACCTGGCAAACGTACGCTCCAAATGCGGAAAAGGTCAAATAAGGAAACATGAAAAAAACATCAAAATAAAAATAAAAAGTATTAACGAAAGAAATAAGTTGATTCAAAGGTTTTCAAAATATTCGTGAGTGCCGCTTAATTAGAGAGCCTTTTTTGACGATCTCTTAAAGAGATTGACAACCTCATATTACAGTCAGAGTACACTGAAAGCTATGCCATCAATATTATATTCTGTGTAATCTCTGTTATCTTTATAAGTTTAAATAAGATCTATAATGTTATCTTTATGAGTTAAATAAGAAAGAAAAAAAGTTATTTCAGAAAAAACTAAGCAGCTCAAGTAAGCAAATATCTTCGTATTTTTAAAGCTAACTAATTTTTATGGCGTAAAATTAAATGCAAACATAAACAATTATCTATTTATTTTCAATAGTTCTATAAGTCATAATTGATAAATTTGTTTTTACACATCAGGGGTCATTTTTATTGACACGAAGTATTATTCATCGATTCGGTTTTCATGAAACCGAAGTGGCACTTCCTCAGCAAGCGAACAAAGTAACATAAGTGGCACTTCCGCACCAATAAAATTACACTGAGCAAAATTAAAATCGCTTTAGAAACATAACGTACTTTCGATAACATTTTGAAGGCAATGGGGGTAACCCTTAAGAACGACCAACCTCCATTACCTACCACTTCACTGTGGAACAGAGAGTGGTCGCTTTCGAGAGGTTTCACTGTATAACAATTTGAACCCTATTTTGCTTTTGCAATTGGAGCATCGTCTGCAAACCAAGATATATAAGTAGTTATATCAAAATGAGATATTTTCTATGAAGAATCCGAATTTGCAATAAAAGAAATTACTCCAATTCTTGATTTTAAAGTTTCCATGCATCACCTTTGGGAGTGAAATAGAAGGATCGAATTTGGTATCATTGAACTTATAATCTCTTGAAGATACTTCACACATGTAATTTTTAATGATGGCATG